CCCCCCCCCCCCCCCTTTTACTCTTCTTATCGAAATGGAATTCAACTAAGCTGCGATTTGGATATAGAAGCCGAAATCCGGATCGGAACTTTCGAAATTCTGTGGATCCATACCTAACGACGAATGATTCCAACAATTGGAGTTTGTTCTTCTGAATCTTTTTCTTTACGTAGAAATAGTTGATTGTTTCATCTCGAGTAGATGGATGGAGTTTCTCTCAACACTGATCCTGTGGGCGATGAGGAGGCAGATTATTTTGAGATCGAAGGGGATTCTGTACTTGCAGATTATGTTGATCAAACTGGTATGTTTCAAGGAGAAAATCCCCTTCCTCCTGCTGTGGGTATGGAGTTTGAGTCTTATGAGGATGTGTACTACTTTTACAGTTGCTATGCAAAAGAACAGGGATTCGGAGTCCGAGTTAGTAACACTTGGTATAGGAAGAGTAAGGAAAGGTACAGAGGAAAACTTAGCTGTAGCAGTGCAGGTTTCAAGAAGAAGAGTGAAGCGAACCGACCGAGACCAGAAACAAGAACTGGCTGCCCTGCTATGATAAAATTTAGGTTAATGGACACCAGAAGGTGGAGAATAATTGAAGTTGAGCTTGATCACAATCACTTAATCAACCCAACTAGTGGGAAGTTTTATAAATCTCATAAGAACTTGGGTGTTGGAACCAAAAGATTGTTGCAGTTAGATAGTGCTGAAGAAGTGCAAAAAGTTAGACTATTTCGAACGGTTGTAGTTGATGCTGATCACAATGGATTCTTGGATGTTGATGAAGGAGAATTTGGAAATAGTGTTGATGATTCCAATCAATTGAAATTTAACGAAGGTGATGCTGTAGCTGTTGAAGATTTTTTATGTCAAGCACAACTGACAGATTCAAATTTTTTCTATGTTGTGGATCTCAATGAGAAAGGATCTCTGATGAATTTGTTTTGGGTTTCTTCAAGGTCGAAGGCTGCGTATAATTATTTTGGTGATGTTGTGTACATTGACACATCATGTTTAGCAAACAAATATGAAGTCCCATTGGTTTCAATTATTGGAATAAACCATCATGGGCAGTCTGTATTATTTGGTTGTGGTTTACTTGCCATGGAGGCAGCAGAATCATATATATGGTTGTTTAGAGCATGGCTTACCTCTATTCTAGGACGACCTCCACAAGTAATCATTGCAGATCAATGTGTAGCGCTGCAAATTGCTCTTGCTGATGTCTTTCCCAGAGCTTATCATTGCATTTCTTTATCTGATATTATGAGAAAAGTTCCACAGAAGCTAGGAAGCCTGATCGAATACGAAGAAATCGAAACTGCTATCTGTAAAGCAGTTTACCACTCCTCAAAGCCAGAACAATTTGAGGCAGTCTGGGAGGGTATGATCCAGCAGCACATGCTTGGAGATCATAAATGGCTCCAAGCGATTTACGAGGATCGGAGACGGTGGGTTCCAGTTTTCGTGAAGGATGTGTTCTTGGCTGGAGTGTTGTCAATACAATCCAGTGATACAGTTTCATGTTTCTTTCAAGAATATTTGGGTGTGCATACTTCTTTAAGAGAATTCCTTGCGAAGTATGATCGAGCTTTACAATCACGTTATCAGCTTGAAGCTTTGGCTGATGCAGATTCAAAAAGTTCAAGTTTCATGCTTAGATCAAGATGCTATTTTGAACTGCAGATTAGTAAATTGTATACCAATGAGATACTTAAAAAGTTCGAGAGGGAGGTGGAGGGAATGTATTCTTGTTTTAGCACCAGAAAGTTGAATGCTGAGGGGTCACTAGTGACGTATATTGTGAAGGAACATGTAGAAATGGAGGGAAGTAGGAGGGATGCAAGAGACTTTGAAGTTTTATATAATGAATCTGAGATGGAGGTCCAGTGCAATTGTGGCCTGTTCAACTCGAAAGGATATTTATGCAGACATACATTATCCGTTCTTAACCAGAACGGTATCGAGGAAATCCCGCCTCAGTATATCCTTCCACGATGGAGAAAAGACGTGAAAAGAAGCTACGTTCTCGATTATAGTTACAGTGGTATTGATATTAACAGCCAAATCCACAGGTATGACAACTTATACAGATCCATTGTGCAAGTCATTGAAGAAGGGAGAAAATCGAAAGAGCGATACGATATCGCAATACAGGGAATCAATGATATACTGAGCAAGCTTCGCCTTGGAACAAATCCTTCCAGTTAGTTTGGAGATGTAAGGCTATGGAAATGGGGGAGAGACATTAGAGCAGAGAACTGTACTTTGGGACTGGTTTTGTTTTTGTCCATAAACTTTTAAATATTCAAATTGAATATCTATATGTTTTTTTTTATTTTTTAGAGGAAGTTTAAACTTTGGATCATTTGATAAAAGAATATATATGTCCAAACTAGGTAGACAAGATAAGATTTGAAAGCTATTTTATTACTATTCATTAGTTGTAGAAGAATAAAATATCTATTCCATTTCAAAAATCTTCCACTGGCTGTGCAACATAGAAGCCATATGTTGCAAGTGAATGTAAGGCTATATGAACAAAAAAAAAAAAAGATATATATCAGAAAGTAAGGATGCTACTCAATTCCTGTTGATCCCAAAAAATCATTTATCTAAATAAAAAATCTAAATCTAAACTCCAAGAACCTAAATCTCCCTTTTCACAATGGCATCAGACATCTCAGTAGATGGGGATGGGGATAGTAATGATCCATACCGTAACCAATCTCTGGTGCAAATGAGGGCCTCAAGTATTGCCGGTGGCAATGACCTTCGATAGCTATCAATTCTTTGGATTTCAGTGTCGAAAACTGAGTCATGAGGAACGGTCGACACAGGCATGGACAATATATCATAGGCCATTTTCGACAGCGTAGGATACTGATATCTGTTTAGTCTCCACCAACTCAAAACGTCGAACTCTTGTGATTTGGGAAATAACTCCTCCTCCAAATAACGATCTAACTCGGATTTTGTTTGCTCGTTTTCAGAGATCTCAGAGATATATACATCAAAATCTGAGAGCCCATCACCTGTTGTAAGATATATTTCTCCCTGATGTTCTTCCTGATGTGTCTCGTTTATGGAGATATCGATATTCCCGTCTTCTCCAAAGGACTCTGATAGAGTAAGTGTTTCCATGGTGTACTGGAGGAAAAGATCACGGAGACCATAGTCAACAATCCTGGTCCAATCCTCTTCATTCTGAACAAACACTTTGGAGAAGATAAATTTAACAAGCTTCAATTTGTACCTTGGATCCATCACCACTGCCATTGCTAAAACTAAGCAACTATCGTTCCAATATTTATCAAACTTATCTTTCAAAGGCTTTGTCATGTCACGAACAAGTGGATCCTGGCTCATGCTTGCATTAGTAAGCTCTGTTTGAATTTTTGATACTTCTGGGAAGAACACATTTGCAGTTGGATAACAGGGTGAAGTTAAGATGTTAGCCACGTCGAAAAAGTACTTCAAATATGTGCAAAGAGTTTCTGCAACCTTCCAATCATCTGTTGATATACTTAGTTCGTTACTAGGATCAGGTTCATTAGTAGGCTCAGATTCTTTCAAGTACAAAAAGACTTCTTTCAACTCACAGGCTGCTGTCAACATATGAAACGTTGTGTCCCATTTGGTTTGATTATCAATTGAAAGCTCCTTAGTGCAGGGTACTTGAAGTTGGCCCTTCAACTCAAGGAACTTCTCCTCTCGGACAAAGGAGGTTTTCACATACTTCACGCTTTCACGAATCTTCCATACAACTTCACTCATTGACGACAGTGCACTCTGTGCAAGCTGACAAAGAACCTGAGCTAAGCAATTTCCTAACAATAACTGACCATTAAGGAAATTTGGGTCATTAGCAACTAAAAAAGTTCTAAAATTCCTAGCAAGGGTATCGCTTAAAAAGGATTGATCAACTGTGAAGGCAAAGACGCGTCCATCCAATCGCCAATTAGATACGCAAGTGAGGACGGCCAGATTTAGAGCATCATCCTTAAGAGAGGGTATTCTAACAACATTTAGCATCAGACAATGTGAGTTCCAATTATTGTCAATGAAATGTCCTTTCAAGAAGACATAGCAAGTGGTGTCACTCGAAATCCAAACATCTAATGATAAACTTATTCGACTGGGAATTCCACACACAAAATTCAAGAGGCTTTCTTTTTCTCTAAGGTATATAGATGTACATTCTTCTTGTACTGTGGCGTAGCTCATCATGTTGAACTGTGGTTGAAGGCTTCGGACAAAATCAATAAAACCCGCCTGCTCTACCATGTCAAGTGGATACTCATGCATAATAATCATTATGGCAATATCATGGTTACAGCGATTCTGATCAAAGGGAATACTCACAAATGTAGGAGTTGCTCTATAGCGTTTTCTAGGTGGATTGGCAGCATTCCCATTAGTGAAGGTTGTAGGAGCACAATTAGACTGATTTCGCTCACGGCTTACAGGGCAAATTCCCAAAGCAATGTGACGCTTTAAATGGCTGGTGCCTGCTAACTTTGAACCAGTAATGTAAGCAAAAGATTTATTGCACTGGTTACAATAGGCTCTGATACATCCATCTTCAACCGTTTGAACAGTGAAATAATCCCAAACAATAGATTTCTTCCTTCTACGCTTATTTGGCTTGTCAACAAGTGTTAAAGGAAGATCCGGTGTCATCGAAGTTGTAACACTGCAAGAAAACAAAAAGTTTACACTAAAAATTCATCATACACAATGTTCTTTATAACTTATCCTCTGTAAACATGCATACGTATGCCACAATTTAGACGTACAAACTCACTCTAGATTATAAAAAGAAGTAAAAATCCCAATGCACATAATGCAACAGCAATCAGAAGAAAGAAAGAAATAAAGAAAGAAAAACAGATAAGAACCCCCACCCAACCAGTGCCCTGATTTTAATCACCCAATTCAAGGAAACAAATTCGAACTTTTTCCTGTTTTCTCTTAAGCCCAAAAGACGAAAGTCCATACCACGAACATAGTCGACGTCAAGCAACAAAGACTGTTTAATTAACCGAACTCGAAGACTCACAGTCACAAATTTCAATGCAAGCACCAACTCCGATGACTCGACAAAACGCCGATAAACCCCAAACAGAGAAAACAACCAAACCAAACCTCCCCGAAAAACTTCGTTGAATCAATTCTCAAAAAAAAAAAAAAAAAAAAAAAAAAAAAAAAAAAAAAAAAAAAAAAAAAAAAA